GGAGAAGGCATTGGAAGCCTGAGCCCAGCCTCAAGCACCTCCTCATAAATAGCAATGTCACTAGAGGAGTCATCGCAAGCAGGCTCACACATCTCCGCTCGAATAACATAGTACAGTCGGAGGAATATGATAGTTGGAGACAATCCGTAAAATATCAGCGTTTGAATTTAAAGTGTTGAAAATAGTACTTACTTTGGATACATCATCATCAACAGCTACCTTGCCTCGATGCTTTTTGACACGAGGGTGAAAAGCTATGTCCGAGCCGAAAAGGTTTCTAGGAGAATGATTTTGAGAAGCTGCACTTGAAAAAACTCGAATAGGCTGATTGCCCAAGCTGCCCAGCGCAGCAGGTTACTGGCCCAGTCCGCTCAGCACAGCAGGCTGCTCGCCCAAGTTGCCTAGCGCAGCAGGTTGCTCGCCCATATTTGACTTCCTCACATTCAGCAGCACGCAGACAGCTACCTCAGCAGCACACAGACAGTTGCCTCAGCAGCCAGATGGGCACCCAAATCAGTGCTTTACTCTCCCAAATTAGCCTGCTCGGCACCGCGTTCAGCAGTCTGCTCACCCAGAACTCCCATTGCGCGCACAGCAGGCACGCGCCTAGCGGAGGTGTCCCACGACAACTCCACCTCCCTCAGGCCTTATGCCTTTATCTCCTCTCTAAGGACAACGTCAACTCCTTCAAGTTCCTCACCAAGATTTGTAGAACTTCAAACATTCTCACCACTAGCTGCCATTGTTCAAAATGCTAAACTCGGAAGTCTCACCAATGGGTTCTTAGAAGATTTTAAGAAAAAGCTCTCACTCTCTCTCAAGAACGAATGAAATGGATGGAATGAAGAAGAAATTTACTCTTTATAACCTAAGATTTTAAAATCTCCTTAGAAAAGCAAAAAACCCAAAAGCTCTAAATTTCAACTAGGACTTTCTAAAAATCCAAAAGAGGAAGGAGAAAGGGAGTTATATATTCAATGGGTCCCTACAAGCAAAAGGAATCTACTGGAAGGAATGGGGTTGCCAATCAAGAGAATTTTTCAAAAAATTCAGATTTTAAGAGTTATGTACGCTATTTTGACCAAAACTTTTGACCCGTAGCTCCAAACAAAGCCCATAATATGTCAAATCGAAGCTCTCGAAGATCTTTACAAGAGTCATTGCCTTTGGCTATGAATGATGCTGAAAAAATTCCAAAAAAGGCCTGGAAGTATATGTTTTGGCCTGCCAAAGTTTTTTCAATTCTGTCGTTCGGTCAAAAATTCAAACTCAACTGAATGCCCTCCTTTCTAAGTTCCTTAAATGGAGGGCAATGGGGGCAAATTATGTACTAAACCCAAGGGTCCAACTCATGTTATAAGCCTAGTCTGAGTTTTAAGGCCCAACTCCAAGAGATCCACCAAGTTCAACCCAATGTGATCGGTCTAGTCAAATTCATCAGGCTCAAGGAGTTACGTTAACAAGAATCATGCAAGGTCATCTAGGAGTCTCCTCTACACCACTAAGCGAGCGTTCATGAACTTCACCCTCGCCGCTTGGAGAGCATCATAAACTTCCTTACCGTTGAGGAAAGTAGAGGTCGCCAAGCTATTTAATCACTATTAAAGTCACACCAAACCGTTATGACCGTCTGACTAGCTATGCAATTACTACACTAAGCCACTATAAATTGTAAGCCCCACCAACGCTTGAAGGGCATTAGACTCATTTGAGCATTATGCACTCCTCCCTTCTCACAGCTTGTAATCTTGTGCTCTCTCTCCATACTAGAGATAATAAAATTTTGGCGACCTTTGCCATTCAAAGTGGACGTAAGTCATATTGACCAAACTACTATAAACCTTGTCTTCCCTCTCCCTCTACTTTACTGCATTTTATATTACTTAATTGACAGGTGGTGTGCAAACCAATTTTGTGCATCATCAAAATTTATGAAAAAACAATTAGTGGTATATCTTCATTGACAGTGAATTAAGAGGTAATAATTCTCAATTTAGGAAATTCATTTAACGCTGCTTTTAAGGATGAATATTTTGAAGTTATTAAAAATTTGTAACTTAACTACTTACTAAAAGAGTAAAATAAGACTTATTTCTAAATAAATTTAAGTGATAGAGTGAACTCATTAAAAATTCTCTAAAAAAGACTTGGTCCCAATTTTCATTAAAGAGAAAAAAGGACGGAGAAACCAAAGCGAGCATGAATTGGAAAAAAAAAAGTTGTCCCTTCATTTCTGGTTGTTATGTATGGTTTTATGAGACAGACCCACTTTTTGTATCTCACCTTTATTGGTCAGACTAGATAGATAATATGTCACAAATTGTATGATAAAATCCATAAAATAATTTTAACTAAAGTAGGAAAGTTTAATTAACACTTCATTTTCTCAACCTTTGTGAGAAATCTATTGGGAATATAGAGAAAAAATGTGTTTATCCAAATGATTAAAAGTTATTCATTCTAAACACAATTTAAGATTGAATATCACCGACTATATAATAGTTCAAGTTCAATTCATGATATTAAATAATGTCAATAATCTAGTCCTTCAAAAATTTATTCAATTTTACTAAAAAATAGTGTTATACAAAACACAAAATCCGTCCACATATTTTCAAAAATTATCAATGATCTACTTCACATCATTTTATATCAAAATTAATCTTCAAAATCTTTTTGTGATTTTTTTAGGAAAACGATCTAATCAAGACTTATTTTGACTTGTGATTGTGACTATATGCAAATTTCAATTGTGCACAGTCATTTACATAAACCAAACAAACTTACTCTTTTTTAACTAGTGTACTAGATGAATTGCAAAGCAAAACAATATCGCCAACATGTATTTGCACGACAAAGGACCATTTCATCACATTATTCAAAAATCAATAATTCTATACTAATCAAAATTAAAGACCATATAAAGAGCCCAAATGAAGTGACAATTGACTTGAAAGGCTGATTAGGCATGATTAATATTTGATTAAATCCAAAAAATTTCTTCCCAAAATTCAAGCCCTAAATCAAGGACAGATTAAGCAAAATCTGAAACGTCTTCTCCGCGTCCCTAACACGCACAGACAAGCGGAACAAGACGATTCTGGCAAAAAAACGTAAGCATAGGAAAGCTGAGAAACACAAATGAATGCAAAGAACACAGTAATTAAGCCAGAAAGGAGACCACGTTGATGCCCTCATCCATAGAGTCTAAGGGTCTGCCTTTCTATTCCTTTGTTTTCTTCGTTATACTATTCTCTCTCTATATATATACACATAAATTACAATCATACACAGCTTACAAATCCCACATTATCAATAAACCCTTCTCTCTTTCTCTCTCTCTCAAGAAGTTTTCTTTGGCTTCAAGCCTTCACCTTGAATATCCAAGTAAAAAACAGAGAAAAGAACAATGTCGACCCGGACTAGAGGAGGGAAGATTGCTTCTTAAATTCAGATTATACATTCAAGATTGCTTATGTAGTGGTTTTTTTGTCCTCTTACTTATGTGTAGCCAACCAAGTATGTTGGTTAAACTTTAACATTGTAACGTTTTCTTTTTTTTTTTTTTTTGTTATTTAACGTTGTACTTGATTTGCATATTGCAATGCAAACTTATGCTTGAGCTCTTCTCCTTCTCTATATTATTTTTTTCTGAATATATACTTTGATGCACTCCAATTGTTCAATGAAATGCTTATTTGGCTCAATAAGGAACATAAGAGAGTGAATGTTTTTCAGTGTCTCTGAGTTTTATCTCTATTGAGTTCAAGCAAAAGCAAATTCTCAAAGAAATTTCAAATCTTGCTCTTTAACAGGCTAAAAGTGACGTAGTGCTCATCTCTTCCTATAGAGGAATTGCCATTACAAAGGAAATAAGGGAGGGATCAAAGAATTCGCCCCCCCCCCCACTATGTTCTTCGTATACGTAGTGTTGCCCGCCTTTGTTCTTGCTTAGTGGAGGTTTTAGCTCAAGGTAGCTACTTCTCCCCCCCCCCCCCAATTTATTCTGTCCAGATCATTGTAGGTTTGTTGCTCTAGTGAATTTTTTGAACAACTCTGACATTTTTTTGCACATAGTGAGGGAGCGATCAAAGAATTTCCCTGATTGTTTGGGTTTGTGATGAGGAATTTGGATGAAAGTTTAAGCTCAAGGCCTCCACTTCTTCTAAATTCTATCTCCAGGGAATACCAACTGTTTTTGTTCTTGCATAGCCATTGTTCTTTTTTCATGGCCTGTGTTATCTTTTTTTTTTTTTGACATGGTTATTGGGAATGCCTCATGTTATTTTTGCAAGGGTCATTCCCTTTTTTTGTATTCTTTTTTTTTTGATCAATTGAAATTTTACTTTCCGAAAAAACAAAAAAAGGTTATTGCACAGGTCAACCAAAAAATAATGCCAATTAATTTTTACCAATATCACATATAACTAAATACATAAGTTAAAACTTAAAATGTTTTGTTTTATTCAATCTTCTATTTTTTTCTGTAATGATAGAACTCATAGTCATAAACGAACCCAAAAAATTAATCTTTTACATCATAACTCCATTTCCAAAACAAAACAAAACAAAAAATTTGTATTCTTTGTCTTTCATTTGACTTTGAAGCTGCACCAAAAACTGTTGTATTTTCCTCCGCATTGACTTTTGTCTACACAGCCCGAACTAATAGATCTTAAAACTGTATATAAATTGATCCAAAAGCTATTAAAAAATCAAGAAAACTAATAGAACTTAAATGGTATATAAGGAGTTCATAACTCACTTATTGGCTTTGACACTCTAAATCACCCTTGCTAGTATTTCCATCCCTTCCTGAATTTAGGCTTCTCTTTATATAGCAAAAATTCGAAAGAAAGTTAAAGTGCATGGAGATGTAAATTAGATGGAAATTAACAATGAATCTCGTACCGATTGTTGTATAATATCGGACAATTGTGTAGTATTATTGATTCCAAATATTGTTGTAGAGTAAGGAACACAATCCATACCATATATACCTCTCCAAATATTGTTGTGGACTTTGACTTTCCAAAGTGAGAACATGGAAATGTAACATATCTTAGCTCTCCATCATCTCCCTTTAACGATGTTCTTCTTTTTATGGGAAACCCTAGGTCATTACCATATATTATGTAGTACTCCATTATTTCGTCAATTGTATAAAACACCATTCCTAATTTTGGCTCTTCTAATTTTTCTTCTACATCGATTGTATTATCAACTTTCTTCTCACAAGTATTATCATCCATCGCCATACTTGTATAGCTAGTTGGAATTTCTTCTTCCATTCCTATCCAATAAAGAACAAAACATAGATAATCAAAGAACATAAGATTGTCATCGCAATAAATATAACTGGTCACTCTTAAAGTTACTATCAACACATCAAATGTTAGTTTTTTATTGCCTAGTTGAGATACTACATTTAATCGATAGCAAAAAACTTAGAAGATAGATTACCATTGAAGAATTGATATAGCCGAGCCTACAGTTTTGGGGATAGACTGATAATCACAAGACATAATTGACAAACTATTAACCAAGTTTATATATGCTTTAAAATAATTTCCTTTAACGAAATAGATTACTTTGATATGAAGAATGTCATGGGCTTCCCAATGAATCTTCCTAGTAACATTCTATTTTTTCTTTTAAGAATGAGAATGCTTTTATTAAAATAAACCAAACATTACAAGAAGCAAATGGGGGAAAAAAAACCTATTTACATCACCAAATTTATGGCTTTAATCCTTCAAAACATGAAAAAAAAAATATAAAACTTTCCTATTAGCTGCAATCTTCCACAGCCTGACTGCACCTAGCAAAAAGTCTTAGCCATAACCACACTTTACAACCTTCTTCATCCTTAATTTTGGAAGCAAGTGCTAATCTTGCACTAGCAATCCAACATACCTCTAGGCAGTCCACTTAGAGTAAAGTCAAAAGACAATCGATCAACCACAGCCTGATTTGCTAACCCACCAGCAACAGAATTTGCTTCAGGAAAAACATGGAAAATTCTAAAATTCATCAGGCCAAGTATCTTTCTAATTTAATGCAAAATATGCAAATACTGTCAAGCACACACCATTTTCCCAAGCACCGTATTAACGAGAATCATGGAGTCAGTCTCCACCCAATTGCATATGAGTTGAACCTCTAATTTTAAAACAACATAAATTTACATCATATAGACACCCAGCACGATACTAGACCTAGCTTCGATTCATCTAGACATTTTGAAAACCTAATGATGTAGATTAGGAAGAGAAAGAATTAGAGATGAGAAGGGAAGAAGAAGGAGATGAGAAAAGAGAGAGAATTTGAGGAGGAAGCAATATCAGTAATCAATAATAATCAATATCTCCCCAAGACAAATATCATATCCCCTATATATATATATATATATATATATATATATATAAGGGGATCACGAACCCTAAAATAAATAAATAGTCAAAATAACAACTAAGTCCTTAAAAAGTAAAATGACAAATAAATCCTCAAAAGTTAAAAGAAAATAATTAAAAGATAAATACTAAAAGTATCCATGTTACTCTCATGATTAATCTAAAATATCTATTTAATTCCTACACGATCCCCATCATTCTCCGCCGATTGAGAAAAATCTCATCCAGAGAATCTTCAAAGCAAAAGTACCATAAGAGGGCAGCATAAAAATGACAGAACGTCTCATTTAGACTGAAAGAACCATTAACATATTTTCATCAATCAGAATAAATGCAAGAATCTCTATCTATAGAAACATTGACTAACAAAATAGGACTTTGGAGTATCTCGATTAAATAGCATGTCCTCCAAATAAAAATATGAACTAATACTAACATTCAATGAAAAATTAAGCAAATAAGCATTAGATCCAAACTCGAGAATAGCAAAGCAATTCCCATTAGATTTCAATAAAAAGTATTCAATGGGACAAGACATCGATGACAAAGGAGTAATAATAATGCCTTGGTGGTGAAAATAATTAAGTACCAACTCAAGTGAAATCTTGATAGTAGGAATAAAGTCAACTATTTCAGAAGGGAAAGACTTGAGAACAAAGTTAAATTGAGTTGAAATAGGAAACACAAAATAATCACCAAAAGATTCTGAAATAGGTAACTCAATATGCTCCACATCTTTCATAAGTATGGATGCGATAAACTTTTCAGCAAGTTCCGATACAAGTGGTGACTCAACATTTGACTCCGGCAAAGGCTCAAACTCACTTTCTTCAAGTATCGACTTTTGTTGGTATGAAGGAGGTGAGCTTTGATCTAATGAAATCGGACAAGGGGATTAATAGTTGACATGAGTAACATCTTTTTTTGTATGTGAGAGTGTGTCATCCAAATCCATGGTCACCTTGGAATTAGGAAAACATGCAGAAACAATATGAATATCATTCAAGTAATCATGATACTCATATGTGCTAAAATTAAAATTGGAAGGTGTCCTACCATGCTGTTAAGCAAATTATGATTGAGAACTCATCAAGCTATAGTTTGATTTCTTATGAAATCTCTTAATAGGCTGCACGTTAGAGCATATTGATAGGCTGTAACTAACGTATTAAAAGTGTATTGCTTAACCTCTCTACTAATTTTTTGTCTCAATCCAAGAATAAACTGATCAATGATTCTTCAACAATGTCAGACAAGTACATGAGATAATCAAATTGGACAAAGTAATCAGAGACACTAAAAGAATGTTGTCTAAGATTGAGCTATTGGTCATAAACTTGATCCATGTAGGAAGTAGGCAAATACTTATCTATCAATTTATATCTCATTTCAATTCAAATGATAGGTAATTCTCCAAAGGGGTCTTCTTTGAGTTGTTTGCCAATACTGCTTGGTGGAACCCTCCAACATCAATTTAGCAAAACGGATGCAATGAGAATTTGACATGCCATGCCAATCAAAATATTCTTCTAAATTAGCTAATCAATCCAAGAATTGATTGGGATGTAGAGTACCACAAAATGTAGAAAGATCTTTAATTGAGTTAGCAATAGGTTTTGAATCTTTGTAGACATAACTAAACTTGCTATGATGATGACCTCGAGGAGGGACTCTTAAACTAGAGTAAATATGTGGATTATAGGCATCATACATACTCATGAGTGAGTCTTAAAACAAGGGAATAGCACCAAAACAAGTTTAAGAATGTAATTGACAAATGATTTAGACCTTTTACAAATTTTTTAATTGTTCAATGAATAAAAATATTAGTTTCAAATTTCTATAGGAGTATGCATATTATAATCCAAGCTTTGCTTTAAGGGAATTTTGAAACTCAGACACTTTATGGGGATGATTATATAATTTTTTGAAACTTTTGGGGATGTTTCTATAATTTTTTGAATCTACTAGGGATGTTTCTGTAATTCTAGAGCTTCTAGATGATATTTCTATAATTTGCTAAAACTTATGGGGTGATTCTATAATTTTTAAAACTACTGGGATGTTGATGTAGATTGTAGTAGCTCTGATACCAAATTGACGTAGATCGTATTAGCTCAGATACCAAATTGATGTAAATCATAGTAGCTCTGATACCAAATTCATGTAGATTAGGAAATGAGAGAAATAGGGATGATAAGGGGAAAAGAAGGGAATGAGAAAAGAGAGAATTTGAAGAGAAAATAATATCAATAGTCAATATTAATAATCAATAATAATCAAAGTCTCTTCAAAACAAATATCGTATCCCTATATATATAAGAGGATCGCAAACTCTAAAATAAATAAATAGTCAAAATGATAACTAAGTCCCTCAAAAGTAAAATGACAAATAAACCCTCAAAAATTAAAAGAAAATACTTAAAAGATAAATACTAAAAGTATCCAAATTACTCTTATAATTAATTTAAAATATCTATCTGATTTTTATACGATCTCCAACACCTAAAGTCTTAAAGAAAAAGTTCATGATGGAACATATAAAGTTGAAGATACAATTATTGTACCAAAAAAGTTTTAATTTAACATTTAAATGATGCAACTTAATTTTTAAAAATTGTATTTTTCGTGATTAATCATAATATTTTATGATTTATAATAATTTTTCAAGTTATAAGTTAGATCCTTAAAAGATTGTTACTTAAATGTTATAATTTTTATTACGATACCGAAAAAGGGTACTATACTCGATCTATAATTTGTAAGATTGACGGAATCTATTGCAGGAAGAAAAATAAAGGTAAGTATCAATGCCGCACACCCCGGAATTGTGAAAACTGGAATCATCAGGGATCACAAAGGCTTTATAACAGGTATGCACATTCATTGTCCATGAAACAACCAACTACTCCAGCAACATTCTAAGGCATTTAATTTAGAGTTTTTACATAAGTATGAAAGTAGTTTTTCCATATGATAAAATAGTATTACGAGATCAGAGACAGAAAGATTCGGAAAAAAAAATACTGTGAAGCCAAATAAGCATTTAATCGAGCAATTGGGGTGCATCCAAGGTTTTCTGTACAAAGTCAGATAGAGTCTAAGGGTCTGGGGAATACCTTGAACAATAAAAAAATAGAGGAGTAGATGTTTCTGAATTTTGAGATAGATTACGTTGATCTATGTCCAAGAAGATCGATGTGAAACAACCTGCTTCTCCGACCACTGGTGGGAGTCGAAAATACCAAAAAATATTGGATGACCGAAACAAAATCTCTTTTGATTTGGTTCTTCCTGTTAGCAAATTTAAGGAATTCCAACATATCTCTCAATTTTGGAATTTGACGTTACTTCACTTCTTTCCTTGATTTAGGCTTAAATTTTGGCTGAAAATTTTTGTGTGGGTACTCAGCCATGAAGAGTATTTGTACACTAGACTCTCCACGTTAGTCGCCATGTCATTTGATCACTCTTTTTAGTCTCTAATTATGATCAGTGTAGCATTATTGTTATATGTTTGTCTCACATCAGTTAGACTGAAAAATTTCACAGTTCTATTGTACTATAAATAAACCTCCCAATGTATAGAATAATTTAGATTAAAACAATATACAATTGATATTCGTTTTCTATTCTCTTCTTTCACAATTTTAATGTAGATGCCCTTTATTAAAAAGTCCAATGCCCACAAAAAAAAATAAGATAACACTATTTACTAAAAAAGTAAAAAATTGGGCTATAGTACACACACACACACACGGCGCTACACCAAAATGGGAAACCAATGCAAAAAATACCTACGAAAACAATATTTATATATTATATTACGTGCTTGATTTATGTAA